GGTGCTACAGATGCTGAGATAGTAATTGAGTTCTTTCATTCTCTCATGCCCATGTCATTGGATGCGCTGTCTTTTTTAGTCTTTCAGCACCCTGATTTTCAGTTTCGTGGAAGAGGTCGTTTCGGTAATGGGCGGTTCATTTCACGTGGTCGAGGATCCGGACGAAGAGGTTTTAAACGACCTTACGATTCAGTGGATGAAAGTGGGCAGGTACCAGCGCGATCGCAGAAGTTTGCTCGAATAGGACGTGGTAGTATGCACCAAAATCGTGGTATTAATCATAAGTAGGTTTTGGTGTTTATCTAGTGTGATGAAATTTGCACAGTGAAATAGCTAGTTGTGCATATTTTTGCATGCAGATAAATATTCCCCAGTTAAGTGGGAATTGCGTTAGTTCGAGCTTTAAGAAAGTGAGTTGGTGCTTTTCTGCTGTGCGCCTGTAATTTCCTGCCTCCTGTTAATGCAGTTCTCTGCTGAATTGTTTCAGAAGTGCTGGTGATGGAACGTGGTTCAAGCGGAAACCATATGAAGCAGGTGAGGTAAATGAGAGACCACTTGTACCATCAGTGGCTACTGATTCAGTTGTGAATGCGTGGTCCCAGGCTGTGAAAATGAAATCCGTCGCGCGGGAATTCTCTGTTTCTGAAACCAAATAACGATATGCATCGCATTTGGAATTTTGCAATGTTTTTGTGGAATATTACATGAAGCAGATTTTTCGAGAAAAAAGTGATCTTTTTCCATGTTTGTTGTTTTCTTCAAAAACTTGCTCCAGGATACTTTTATATGTTGCATTGTTTGCGCTGTTACATGATCAGTTTTTTACTTTATTTTCGAAGGCATCGCCGTAGCTGCCTAAACCTGTGCCAGAAGCAGTGCCGAAATTTCTCTCCTCTGCGGTATTTTCCATAATTGTTGTGGAAAGCATATACAGAATTTTCCGTGCTCCATTCTTCTACCAGCCAGATGATGTGCAGTCTGGCTGGTCTGCATTCGCCAGGCTGTATAGCAGCAGATAACGCTGCGATTGTAGAAGTAGGAAATATTTGCCTTTTTTTG